TAATCAGAAAATAAATAAAATTCATTTCCATTGTTACAGTAAGCGGCGCCGGTGATCACGGGAATGTCTTGACCATTGATGCTGCGGGCTTTCAAAGTCAATAACAACAGTAATGTCAAGTAAGACAAATATGTAAAAATTTCAGCCGTAATCTCCGATTATGCTCATGTTTAGCCGTAGCCTACCACTTATTTTCAAATTTCAACCTGCTCCCAGAAGTCAACAACCGGAATCAATGAGGTGTTCCCAAGTCCAAAATTAGTTATACGTAGACCATCTCCAACCATAAACAATAAATTAGTGTAACTTTCACATCAAAATCGATATAATTTCAATACTATTTTCATACGGCATCTCCAACTCATTACCCATAATATTATCTTTTTTTTATTTATATTAATTCAAACATAATTTATTTTATTAATTATTTTTATATATATTAATTAAATATTAAGAATAATTTTTTTAATTAATTAACTACTAATAATAACTTTAAAATAGTGTATTATTTTTGAGTTATTGAAGTTTAATATTTATAACTATATTAATTATTTTTACATATATTAATCAAATATTAGAAAGAATAACTTTATTAATTAATAATTAATTAACTATTAATAATAACTTTAAATTATTGTTAATTTATTTACAAGTGTTGAAGTTTAATATTTACATTGTAATGTTTTCATATTTTTTGAATTATATAATTATTAAAAAATAAATTTATGAATATTAATATAAATAATAATTAAATTAATTTAAATATAAATTAAAAAAAATAAATGACAAAAATAAGGAAATAAAAGATTCCATGTCGTACTAATTTAATGTGGCTTTTAGTGTTTGGTTTGTAGTAAAATTTGGACACCATGTCGGTAGCGGGTAGCCTAAGGGCTAAGGCCCTAAAAAAAGGAAATTCACACTATCATGCGCCCATTTTAATCATAATATATAGATGTCACATCTGTCCAGTGTCCTATACTCCGACATAAAATTGTTTGCGATAAGTTTAAAATAAAGTAATAGAAAATATCTATGAATAAAAATAATATTTACCTTTACTCTTTTAATTGAATTCAGTTGATAAAAATAGATAATTACGAACTCATCACTCAATTTTATAAATCATTTTTTATAATTTTGATAAAATAATTTATAATTGATTAATTCGTAAATAAGTAGTTGAGATTTATAACGAGTAAATAAAATTTATTTATAAATTAATAAATTATAAATTATCATATTAAAATTATAAAATTAGATTATAAATATAATATTATCGTGGTTAAATATATTAATTTTATTTATTTAATATAATTATTTATTTTTTAATATTAAAGTGGCCCACGAAAAAGCACAAATCGCTCAAACCTCTATAAATACAAATACTTGCACTCTTCATTTCTCATAATCCCGTTGCAGTTTTCATCACTCCAAGAAACAAGAGAGTTTTTTGGCATCTAAAATCATGGCAAGAACCGCTTCTCTTCTTTTACTCCTCTCCCTATTATACTTCACTACCATGGCCATCCCCACTAAGAGCTCTAGTGACACAAGCTTCATTAAAACCTCCTGCAAATCCACTACGTACCCCGCCCTCTGCGTCCAGTCTCTCTCAACTTACGCCACTTCAATTCAACAGAGCCCGCGCCAGCTAGCTCTCACGGCCTTGTCCGTGAGCCTGTCGAGGGCACATTCCACTAAATCATTCGTCACAAAGTTGAAGAAGTTCAAGAACTTGAAGCACAGGGAGATTGGAGCTATTGCAGACTGCGTGGAAGAGATGAGCGACACCGTGGACCGGCTGAGCAAGTCGGTTCAGGAGCTGAAGCACATGGGTCAAGCCAAAGGTCAGGACTTTTTGATGCACATGAGCAATGTGGAAACCTGGGTCAGTGCAGCTCTCACTGATGAGAACACTTGCGTTGATGGTTTTGCCGGCAAGGCCTTGAATGGGAAGATCAAGGATTCGATTAAAGGTCAAGTTGTTAATGTTGCTCAAGTTACTAGCAACGCACTGGCCTTGATTAACAAGTTTGCTGCAACATAATGATCCAGCAGGCAGCCATGGATGTGTGGGTGAAAAAGCTCTTAAGATTTTGCCAAGTTTTTGATCTGTCGTTTAAATTTGATGTATAAATTAAGCTTGTTTTTATGTGTTTTTAACAGTTATGTATGTATCATATATTGAGTGTTTTGAGTGGGAAATGAACAAGATGAAGTGTTTTGAACTTTGAAGTACTGCTTTTGTCTTGTGGCTCAAAATAAATCCCTTGATTGAAGGCATAAGGTCCTCAAAAAACACAATTAAATGACCGAATCGAATCAATATGATGAAATTACGAGATATGGTCCCATCTCAATCATAATTAGCGGGCCTAACTTGTATTAGGTAATTAAAAAGAAACACGGAAGAATCATTTCATTTGATAAATGATACTAAAATACTGAATATATCTGAAGATGAGCACAATTGGCTTTTACGGAAAGGGCGGTGTATAAATAAATAAATAAATGTATCGGCAATCGGGAATCGGAACGGGATTGAGACCGAGCAGAAAAAGAGGACTTTGCGTGGGGACTCTGTGTCGACTGCGATCACGTGACTGGGCTTTTTGTCTCCATTTTTTCTCCTATAACTCTATATTATATATATATATATATAGGTATAATGCATTGAAATGACTGGGGATAGGGCGAAAGGGATCGCCTGCACATGGATGATGGGATTGTAACCTAATCAAACAAACTTTTAGTTACAACTGCGCACTATTTTATTTCAATTATTTATTGATATATTACCAAGTGGGCGCATGGGAGATGACTACACGCTGCCAATACCATACCATTCAGTGCACCAGTGTATTTGTATATGTATGATATTTTCGAACAAATATCCGAATTTGACTTTCTACAATGTTAATATAGATGATTATTGAAGAGTTTATTTGATCGTTAACTTCAAGATTTTAAAAATTAATTAGGTTACGTGTAAACTAGTTTAAACATCTCCCATGAAAACAAAAAAGAAAAAAGTTTGATGTATTTTTTTTTTCTTATTTTGTTTGATGCTGCTATTGCATACAACGTTTAATGCGTAATTTCTTGAAAGAAATTCCAATATTATTACATCAATTGCGTTGTTTAATTGTTTAATTTATTATTTACCAGCACTCTGACTCCACTTTTGTTCAGGCTTATCTTCACGGCGGCACGGCTCTTTTTTTTAATGTTCATTCTAGATTTTTTTTTTTTTTTTTTTTGGTTAAATCTAGAACGGTAACTATCAGTTTCTAGATTTTTGCATAGATATATCTTATATAAACTAACTGCATGCGTTTGACCCTACTGTATTAACAGGGCGTTAACTCATTCTCTTATTATTCCAACCATCAAAATATTATCATATAAATAAGTTACTAATATTAGCAGATAATCGAAAGTGCAAACATCAATAGCTATCAAAGAAATAATTGACAGAGTCAGGTAAACTAATTTTCTTCTGCTCTCTTCCATGATTTGATTTTTTTTTTTTGTTTTTGTCTCCCCGTATTTTAAGTTAATTAACTTGAACGTAACGTAACCCTAGTTAACAAAATTGACCTAATTAAAATCAATTTAAAAGAAAAAAAAACATATAATCATATCAATAATGTTTTATTTATAATTGAATCATACAACTAAACCAAAATTAAACAAAATTCATATAAAATGATTCCTCCATGTTTTGTTTTTTATCTAATTGTATGATTTGATTGTAGACATAACATTTCCGTAATCATATATATTTTTTTCTTGATTAAATTCATTAATACAGATTACAGTTGGCATGTAACATGGTTAAAAATCCTTGTTCACATGAAGTGACTGCGTCAACTATAGGCATGGACACCCATCACTCACTCATCATATATATAACCCTCCATACTGCCAAAAAATGATGTTGCCTTTTCTTCTTTGCTAGTTGCAATATCTTTAATGTACAAAATTTTATACATACATTAGAATGTTTCATAGAGTAGAAAACTTACATAAATGAGTCAATTATTTTGAAGAGAACACATGAACAACGGCGTGAGTGGAGAGAATTAAGAAGAATAGCTAACCTAAACGTCTATATCATAGATTAATGGAGAGAAACTGCTGACCTTATTCCCTCGTTGCATGTGATTTGACGCGATGTTTTATCCACACAAGATATGGAAAGTGGAAATAGACACTTCCCTTGTCTCATGCATCCATTTAATTCAATAAATTTTAGGAAGCCATTTGAAAATTGTATCGAATTTCTTCTTCTACCACCTCTCTATATAAATATTTATTTTATATTTTATTTTATATATATATATACAGGATCAGTGGCGGATCCAGGCACTTTTTGGGTGGGCTATGGTCCATCCTTAAATTTTTTTTTTTTTAATATTAATATGTATAATTTATATATTTTGGCCCACTCTAACAAAAATATTAATGGATAAAAATAGTAATGTATAATAAATTTTTATTTTGGTCTACCCTAAAAGAAATTCCTGGATCTACTACTGTACAGGATCATCAAGGAGGTTTATTCACGATTTCACGTGCTGCTTGCCATTGCCTCACATTCTTATCCGTTCTAATCGATATGCACTCCTTTCACGCAATGGAATTAATTCCACATTCGCTTTTGTAGCACATGAAAACTTAGAAATATTGGAATATTTATATTCCAACTGCAATAATAATAAAAGTGTCCCCTTCTTAATATAAGAACAGATGTGATCTTCTTTATAATAAGTTTGGCCTTTCCGTTGGTTTTTCTGGGAATCCCTTGATTATAATACATGACAAAATTAATTTAAATAGATGACCCACCATAAAGGGTAATTAAAAGCATCCTACCTGAAGTAGTGAAGTTAGCTGATTCAGTTACTCCAAGTGATTGCATATACTGGGAGCTAGAGAAACAAAAAAGAAAGACAAAAGAAAAATGTACTGAAATCATGCACACACTATAACAAAAGATTTTTGCGATTATTTCTAGTTACAACCAGATACATATTAAACAGAAGAGAACATATATATAAACTTTGTAGCAAAAAGAATTAAAAGAAGAAAAACACACCAAGAACTATTATGAGGGTTGAAATTCATTACTAACTCTTAAGATTATTGTTGATAAGAGCCAAAGAGTTGCTTGTTTGCTTAGCAAGATTCACAACGCTCTTCCTGATTTTGTTCTTCACAGATTTGCTAACCTTGTTGCCTTCATCAAATTCATCTGTGCACGTATTCTCATCCGTTAGCGCAGCGCTAACCCACGTTTGTATGTTAGCTATTTGTAAATGAAGACGTGACCCTGTTCCTAAATGCTCCATTTCATCCAACGAATCCTTTAGCTCATCGATGCTGTCGCTAATTTCTTCGATGCAATCTTTAACAATTGCTTTCTCTGCAGAACTCAGTCCTCCTTTTTTGGCTATGCTCGACACCAAGGCAGAAGTGTTACGCGCGGTTTTTAGGGTTACCTTCAAGGAAGTTTTGCAGAGCTTTAAAGGATCTGTTTTGATTGTATTGTAGTAGGATTTGAGACTCTTGTAGCAGTCAGCTGGGTATGTTGTTGAATTGCAGGATGTCAGGATGTAGATTTTGTAGGTATTTGAAGAAGTTTTATCGGTTGAAACTGCGGCTATTGCAGTTTGCAAATTCGAAATGAGGAAAAGGAAGGCGCAGAGAAATGAGAGTTGGAATATTGCGCAAGTTTTTGCTTCCATCCCTCTTAGCTATATCAGAAATTAATCTTTCTAATATTGTTTTCTTTTGATGAGAGTGTGTAGAGAAGATGGGAATTTATAAGGAGATGATTTTCAGATGGGAATTTATTTTTTTGCATGTCTTTTCTATCACGCAACATTTTGAAATTGACTCTTGAAATATAATAATAGAAATTAATGAAATATTTTAGCATTGAAATTGAGATTGCGACAGTTTAGGATGATTTGTATATACTTAATTTCAGATCTTGCACATTTTGACAGAAGTGGAAGCCGGCTGGCTAGCTTTAGAATAACATCTCATAGAGGTAAAGCTGGCTATTTGTGCCATTTTTTTAATTTTTTGTTTTGTTTTGTTTTATGTAGTGTGAATGTGTCAACAAAAATACATTATATTTTTGCAAGCTGTGCAAGCAACAGTACCCACCTGGGGTTCGTACTTCCAAATTTAATTATAATTTTCCATTGTCACACCTCGACTATTGGAATTTGGAAATATGTATGACTATATGAGCACTTACTTATATGCTTTCCCGAGCTCCATGGTAATTTGCTTTCTTCTTATCTTATCATTTGATGCCTCAAGTCAATCAGTCAATGAAAACACTTAAAGATTAGTTTTGATGGATTAATATCGGAGTCAAAACTAATTCAAGGTTATGGTAGAGAGTATCTTAGAAATTGAAGTTGTTTTCGCTCTAAGTACTAAATTGAGTGTAGTTAGAAACTAGAATTATTTTCGCTCTGTTTTATGTACTAAGTTTATACTGTTGTGTACTCTTATGTATTATGTTCATGAAATTATAGTGAATTTTTCTTATCCATATATATAAATAGATTATGTCAAATCACGTAAATATTATGTCTCTTTAAATGATTTGATTTTAATATTATGTTATTTATCCCAATGTATATTTTCTGTTGTCCATCTCATAACAGTTTTATAGATCCGTCAATATGTATTAAAATCAGAATTAATTATTGTAAGACGTGTTGCCATGTTAAACATTAAACAACGTGTTTACTGAGTTTTAAATTTTTAATATATAAAACTCAAAGGCGCGAGACGGCCTGAGCTGGAAGACTGGATTACGATTAACCAACGATCGATGGTAGGGCCTATTTTCATAACATGGACAACCTATTACATCCGGACGCGTGTAATGTGAGCAGTATAAAAAGTCAAACATTTGCGTGGGTAGTCGTGAAGACTGTTGCACATTATCTTAACGAAAAATTGTAACATTAGCGTTGCCGCTGTGTACGGAGATCTTATCTCGATCTTCATCTTCTCTTCCCCTTAATTTAAGCTAATTGTGATTTTTTTATTTTTTTATTTTTTTTTTTTGGGTAAGTAAGCTTTATGAACAAAAAGAATAAGGTTTGAACAAAAAGAATAAGGTTAGAAAGTAACGCGAACGGCTCATAGGAAAAAAAAAACAAAAACAACAAAGGGACACACACTCCTGTCTCAAGAGCATGCAAGCTCAAATAAAAGAAAAGGTACAAACGCTTGCATAGGAGCACACAGACTCGAAACAAAAACACAAAAAAGGCACAAACGCTCAAAAAGAGCATGTAGGCTCTACAAAAAAGAAAAGGAACAAGAAGTCAGGATCGCCGTCCTTTCTTCTCACTCTTCTTATCCTTGGGCGTCGACAGACTCGATGGACGAGAGGACTGGGACTGAAGCATGAGCCACTCCATGTCAGAGTGGAAGTCCACCTCGACGTCTTCGACAAGGATAGCAAGAACCATGACTAACAATCATTTGCGATTGTCAACAGAATACTCGTCACTCGATTGGTCCCTCGTTGCCCTTTTAAGAGCTTTGTGAGCTAAAAAATCACGAGTTTCGACAAACGGGTTGAAGAAGCAATTTTGTAGTATAAAATTAGTGTTTTCAGAAAAGAAAAGCTTGTTAATTGTTGATTTATAAAAGGAATAATTAAAGTATGTTTTCTTTGACCTATTTATTTCACTTAATATTCTAAAATAAGTGCATATACTTTTTGGAAGAGTTTAATAAAAAAGGGTTTTTGTGAGATGTTATCATTAGTTTCACATTTCACATACATACTATTAAATTGTACGGTCGGTGATGATATATATTTATATAATGGCTGAGAGAATGGTTTTTAAAAACCGAAATGTGTACTTGATACTGTTTTATTTACTTTCGTGTAAAAGAATAACCTTGCGTTGAAGAATTTTAAGAACACATGCTGGGATTACAAGCTAAACGTGGGATAAGAAGACTTATTTGTGATTATAAAAGACAAATCTTGAATTCAAATATATATTTATTGATGTGAAACTGATCAAGACGTGCACATTATATATATTATATAAAGATCAAAATCACTTGCTTCTTAATTCATGGAATTTGGTATAATTCTTTCAGCTAATGATGATGATGATCGAATTGATTTTCAAATCCATTACATGATCTTTTTGAAAATCTTTCACGCATTGGTCTCTCGATTGTCCTTGTAGACATTCAATATAAACATTGACATAATATCTCAAGTTGCTCCTTCATGTTAATAGGAGATTTTATAGCAAACGGCATATTCTCACCCAAGGTTTAGCAAAATTCCAAGCTGATACCCCTGATTGCATTTATTCCAGATTTTTATCCTTAAAGTAACGTCATTTCCTTTATTTTAATAAATTCTCAACTTTTTACTATAGCATAGCCCACGTTAACATGCTAAAGTGCTCCAACGTTTTCTTTGGCCAAGAAGGGCTCATGTTATCAAGAAAGGGCTCATGTTAATAGCGTCCAAGTCAACGGTTTTTGGCTTTTTTCAGTTGATTCGAAAGTCTAAAATCACTCCCGAAACCACCATTGGACTTCCTACAACCTCCTCTACAAAACCCATAGCTTCATTTGTTGACTTCATTCATTGTTTTCAATTATCTTCAACAGTCACTAACGATGTTAATTTAAGGGGGAAAATTTGAAATAAATGCAATCAGGGGTATCAACTTAGGGTTTTGCTAAACCTCGATGGTAATATGTGATATTTTTATTAAAATCCATTCTTGGAATAGTGGGCATATGTTAATTAAGTTGATGATGAAACCGCCATAGATGATTAGGATACTTAATTTTCACTCAAAATATATCACTATTAATAAGGATTCGCTAGGAGCCAACTAGATGTAATTAATCTTGTTATATATTATATAGATATGAGTTGATAATAAGTTGCATATGAAATATTTATGTCACAATCTAGGTTATATGTATGTACATGGTTAATTAATTAGCTAGATATATAGCGGATATCATCATCCATTTAAGTTAAGATCTTCTATAAATTTAAAAAAACCAAGTTTTATTCTAATTATCTAAGCATGTGTTAACTTAAACACTTAACAACTGATCATTATCCTTAGTAATTTCAAATTAAGAAGGATGTTTACAAAAAAGTTTTTCTTTCTTTTCCCATGCACACCATGCATTTCATTAATTTGCTTTCAAATGAGGCATTTCAAGAAATCATTAAACAATTAAATTAAAGAAGCATTGCGCTATATGCATTATATATATATATAATTCATATAGATATAGCTACTGGATCAAAACATACACATAAAATAATTTAACTAGTGAGTTAAGTACTAGTATTTGAGTTTATTAATGAAGGCTAAAGCATTGCTGGTTAACTGCGAAACCCTTACAAGTTCCAATACATCCTCTAACAGTGTCCTTAATTTTCCATGCACGTATCTTCATTTGTTAAAGCAGCACTCACCCAAGTTAATATATCACTCATTTTCCATTCAAATTCAGGGCCTTTTAGATCCTTTATTGCTGCCAAAGATTGTTGCAGGTCATCAACCGAGTCTTTTATCGTCTCCACACAATCCCTTATGGCACCGGCTTCTCTAGGCCTAAAGTCACGCCCTTTCGATAACTTTTGCACCAATGCAGAAGTAGACTGCACTTCTTTCAGGCTCACCGACAGGGCTGCATTCGCCAACTCTCTTGGATTTGTCTTTATGGTGGCTGCATAAGATGAGAGTGTCCTGTAACATATATCAGGATACACTGTTGACAGACATGAATTTTTAATAAATTGAATACTTGAATTTAATTTGGATTGTTTTAATCTTGCTGGAAGCATCATGTTGTAGTAGAAAAGAGTGACAAAATGAATATGGAGGCAAGGCCATGGCAAGAGTATAGATTTGAACATGTGAAAGATTCCATGACAGCGAAGTAGGATATATATTTGAATTAATGGATGATGAGAGAAGGGTCCATATAATGTCACCTTTTATAGGGTAATATGACCTAATTTAAATGCAATTGTGGGGCACAGTTTCTACAATTATTAGATGGGTAACGGAAGACTCCACTATTTTAGGGCAAAAGAGATAGGGTAAGGGTGAGCCATAAACACTGAAAATGGATGAAGATTATAAGATCAGAAATTGCGAGGAAATAAGCAATTAATTGTTTATCTAGGAAAGGAAGAGATGCAAATAATTATTATCTTGGTGGTCCTCGTCTAACATGCATGCACAGTAGACAAAAATGTTTGATAGAGGCATATCGAAATTCTCAATATCAAAAATGAAATAATTACTAGAAAAAACAAAAAATAATTTTTCTCATAACCAATCAATTCATAGTATGTCGTTTTTTGAATTATTGGAATGGAACAAAAGCAAGAGATAAGGACTGTGATAGATACAATTATTTAAAGGGGAAGGAAAATATTCCAATTTGGATTATGGCATCATAGAAGAAAAGAAAATTTAGGGACGGTTTATGAGAAGTTAATTAAATTGAACAACATAGAAGAGTATACAGCTAGTACTCATAACACAATTGCGTTCACGTACCTTCTAGGTGCCATCAATCCTGACATATATATAGTTAAACAATAAATAGGGGAAGGAAAATATTCTAATTTGGATTATGGCATCATAGAAGAAAAGAAAATTTAGGGATGGTTTATGAGAAGTTAATTAAATTGAACAAGATAGAAGAGTATACAAAGCTAGTACTCATATATCTATAAACAATAAAGATGAGCTCATAATCCAATTTTACAAATTTTCTTTTATAATCTCGACGTGACAGTTCGTAATTAGTTAACTCATAATTAAACATGCGGGACCCATAACAAGTAAATAAGACCCATTTGTGAGCTAATTAATTGTGAGCTGCCATGTCGAGGTTGTGAAAAAAAGTTTGTGAAAATAGGTTGTAAGTCCAGTATTGCCCACAATTAAAATCTACACTTCCCACAATTTTCAGTATTATGATGTGTGATTGTTATTAAGTATCTTTTAGCATTGAACATATATAGATTAAAATTTGAGAGCCTTAACCGCACATTTATAATGGCGAAACTGTTAGGAGATCGCGCAGTGGAAAACATATAGTCAAGAAAAATAACATAAGATTGAAATCGCACCACATAAAGAGATAAAATATTTATGTGGTTTTGCATAACTTGTCTACATCCACGAATGAGAGAAATCCACTATAGTTTCATAAACACGATATCAATGTTTTAATAATTAACTCGGGGTGAAACCCATCAAAGTTGCCAGGTCTTGGGTTGACGAATTTAACCAATTTGACTCGCCAGTCAAATTGGGTGTCCAAAAGTTTAAAATTCAGGAAATACACTCTTAAAAATTATGTTAAGTCTCTACAAATTTGAAATTAGCAAACACACCCCAAATACAAATCAACGATTGATTAGTTGGTGGTGGCGACACACTAAAAGCAATCCCAATCATCAATTGAGCCATTCCCTAGAAAATCCGATGTTGACAACCCAGGCTAGATCTCATCACCACCGGCTTTGACAGCCCTCCCCATCACCATAAAAATAGTCCCCCCAGCCTCTTGATAAAAACCTATCTCACCCACCGTCGTTCTCCTTGCTAATCACCAGCAACAGCCGACTATTGTTGTCATAGGTTTTTTCGATTTTCGGTTGATTCACTCATTAGAAATCACCTCTGTCACCATTATTGTACTCACCGGCCCTTCCTCTTCAAAACCCCTAACCTCCCGACCTTCAATTATTCGTCGATCATCGTCCCAATTTCTAGGGTTTTCAATGAATAGGGAAATTTTTAATCTGGTCTGGTGAAGGCTTGGGTCTCGATTGAATTGGTTCAACTAGCTGGGTTTTAAGACATTACACGATATACAAGAGTACGCAACACCATAAACCCGATACAATTAACAGAGCAGAAACAATCCTAGTTTCTAACCATGCTCAATCTAGTACCTAGAGTGGAAACATACCCAGTTTCTAAGACACTCTCCCCATGGTATTTAATAACACTTACATCAAATACCCTGTGTTTGCAATTATATTTTGTATTAAACAGTTTTCTTAAAGACATACAATTTTAGGATAAATAGGAAAGCGAGCCACAATTTTTATGTTCTTTCATTTGATTCAACTATTTTTTTTTTTTTGTTATCGGGGGTGTTCGGGCCACTTACATGCACTTCAACTAGTCCCCCAACCTCGAACAAGGCTTCTGAAGGAAGGACAAGCCTTACGGTCCGTGGTCAACAATATTAGCAATCGTTTTTGTGATTCGAACTTGAGACCATAAGAGGAGCAAACCCCTTGGCCTAAGCTTTTACCACTCGGCCAACCCATTGTTGGTTCATTTGATTCAACTATTTGACCTCTACATTATAGAACGTCTATATTTTTATTTTGATAATCCATTCAGGAGTTTATCCACCATCATGTTTCCTTTACTTTAAAAAAGTTGAAGATTATTTCAAATTCAAGAAACCCAAAAGAGAGAGAGAGAGAGAAGAATGGTTATTTTCACAAGGTTTTGCAAATTTCACAGATTCTTGCCACTAACTAAAGCTTGAGAAACACAGTATCAAAAAATTATCTGGTGGGATTTAACTTTGCTCATGAATTCCTATACACCAAGGTAAGTTCTAATTAATTAAAGGAATCAAAATAATGCTAGGAATAGTACTAGTTGACCCAATAGTTTGCATTATTAATGATTTTTTTTTTTTTTTTTTTTTTTTTGGGAAAAGGTAAATAATTATAAAAGAAAGAAAAAAATGTACAAATATATGAGGCGCATACCCAACAAACAAAACAAAATCAGTCTAGCCGGCGTCAAAGGGCTCTAAGGGAAGAATGTCATACTTAGAGGCTAAGTCACAAGCTCCATCTCAGATTAAGGTGAAAATCTCATAAATGACAACATGTCAGAGTCTTGCTCTCATGATTGAACACTCAATTATTCCTTTCATACCAAAGAAAATAGACCATGGCAAAGAGAACGAGCCGTGCTAGAAGGTGCCTAAAGTTGCCTTTATGTCAAAAGTGAAGGATTGTCCACTAAAGAATAGAGGGTTAGAAGAAAGGAGGCCAAGCCAGGAGGGTTTTAGCATACACCTCTCCCCAAGCCAATGCAGAGAAGGTACAACTAAAAAAAAGGTGCTTTTGGGTCTCAGATGCAGAGCTGCAGAGAACACACTGAAAGGAAGCTATGAGATCGTGGGCCTGTAGGCAGTCTATAGTGCGTTTAAATGATGTTGCTTTATCAATTCCCCTTTTACTTTGATATTCCTTTTGGGCTAACACCTTTTTCATTGTATATATATCTTTAACTCATGTTTTTATAAAACCTTGAAATAAATCAGTTTCCATGTCTCCTAAGTACCAGGCTACATTACCATCATTATTAATATGCTGGCCAATCTATGAAACATTTTCCCATTATGATCAAGCAGTCCAGACGCTGCCATGTTGCATAAGGACGAAAGAAGTAAGGTTGTCGTCAGCGTGACGGGTGAAAGCTTGGTTTGTGAATGGCTAGGAATTGTCCACCTGCTCAAGCCCTACGCGATTTGAGGATATCTCCTGTACGGTCAGCTAATGGGAAGCAAGTTAGGAATTGTACCACACCTACCCGACTACAAAATCATGATTATTACCTTAAATCTCTTGACTATAAATAGAGGGCTCCTCTCTCATTTATGGGATCCGTTCATTTTTAATCTTCCAAGAGCAGACTCTCTCTCTATATTTAAATTCTCTCTCTAGATTGTAACTTAGCTCGCTGCCCGCGACTTGACTGTAATCATCCATCAATACAAATATAGTGGACGTAAGATTCACTTTTGAGCATCCGAACCACTTTAAAAATTGTCTCTTATTTATTCTTTCGTTGCATATTTCTATATTACGTGTAATTTCTAAGTTTGCTTAGCACTTTACACATGCGAGTCGTTGGTGTCAAAATCAAGCGTCAACAGTTTGGCACTAGAAAGAGGGCCTGATTTAGTATTCGCCCTTCATTAGGAATCTCTGACCGATCGGTCCTATCTATCAACAAATGGCTCGTGGTTTTGAAACTGAGCGAACCAGCCTCGACAATGAGGAAATCCCCCGGGTACAGGATGACACGTCTCCCGAAGTGCCTCTAGTCTAGCAGAGTACCATGGCGAGTATTCCTTCGAGCTCACAAGTTGACCTAACTGTGATGGATTACCTGGAAAGGTTCAACAATACTCTCCAAACGGTTAGCCGGAGGTTAGACTGTTTAGATCCGGTCGTACCACTAGAGTCTGACAAGGCGGTACCACCGCCAAAGACGCTTGCAAGTCGCACAAAAACGCGTAAAAGTAAGGGAAAGCAAGTGATGAACAGTGGGCCAAAGGGCTTTAAGAGGCTAGCGAACACCGGTCGTGCAACGGGTAGAATACCTGTGGCATTGCGACTTGGCAACATGTTGTAGCATGAGTCGTCTCACACCACGTCGCATGGGCATTCCCACAAGAGAGTGTAAGGCAGGGAGATTCCTAGTATCACCAAAATGATGATCTCGATCGTCATCATACAGGAAACCTCATCATCTACGGGTCAATTCTGACCACTGTGGAGGTTATAAAAACTCCCTGAGCCATTCGTTGCCTTCACACGGCTCCAACCAGCATGTGTCAAGGTTCACCGGAGCTTCCAATCGAGTTGAGAAAGAGCCCGATTTGCGGTCTTTCCTTAATCGCAACTGTGAGAGTCAAACCCAAGTTGCTGAAAGTGATCCTCAGTAGCTTTATTACCTCAGATTGAGGAATTACAGCGAGCTTTGGATCAGCTTAAAACTCAGT